TTTGCTTTGGTTTTTCACGTCCTTAGCGTATGTTCATTTATTTCACTTATAAGGTTTAGTTGTTTGTAATTTTCTTTGGATTTGGAATTGCAATTATTGAAATCGGGCGAGTAGGTCCCGAGATATGAATGTTCACTTAAGGTGGGCGGTGCCATGCCCATCTTCCAAATTTGAGACCGAATCGTATAAAACCCTCTCGCACCATTTCGGATGTAAAATTTCAATCTCTGAAGTATTTAGTTATTGGTTTATGGCGCTTTTAGTAATATTTAACAAAACCGGTATATGGGGAGGAGGCAGGGTTTCGATTTCATCCATTTTCGCAATGTCGGTAGGGGCCCATTGTTTCAAAAGTTTTCGCTCACAGGTGCCCCTTGCTACTGTAATCCCCTGTACCAAATTACAGTTTTATATCTTAAGTTAATGCTTAGTTATGGCATTTTAAAGGTTTTCGAATAATGGCGTTTCGTGGGCGTGGCGGTGGTCCGATTATGCCCATCTACGAAGTCGTACTTTTTTATCAAGGAACACGTGTACAAAGTTTCATTACGATATCTCAATTTTTACTCAAGTTACAGCTTGCACGGACGGAAAGATACTAACCCGGATTTCAACTCGTCTCGTCATCCTGATCATTTATATATATATGTAAAAAAGCTGAAACTAGTTCCGGATTTCACTGCCCTGGGTCGAGTGCTTTCACTAATGAATTAAAAAATCAGATAGCCACTATTATTTTTTTTACTATTTATTCAATATTCTTCCCTACACTTCATTTAGACTTAGTTTAATTATAAAGTATACTTTTGAGTTTGAAGTAGTTTCGTAAATCACGCATGCGAACCTTCGCGTTTGACGTTACAATTCCGAGTGATTTGAAATCTTAAAACTATGATGGCGGGAATGTGATACCGTCCACACTATTCCTATAATCCACTATTCCAACTTCAAATAGGTGGTTGCCAACTATCTTCTAACTCTAATTTAACCCTACGTTAGGTCCTACTTTCTCCACTTTGTATCTTCCGTGTTCTAATTTAGCTACTATCTTATAGGGTCAGAGATATTTTGATCTCAAACTTGTGCCAACCCCAAACTGCGTTCGTTGAATTGTTACTAAATCGTTAATCTCGTGCTAAAAGTTTCCCGTTCTATTCTTGTTGAATGTTCTACAATTCAAGATTTAACTATTTTATTTCATTTAACATAGCCTGTAACGCTGGATATTTTGAAATACGCATATCTAGATATGTAAGTATTCTGAAGGGTGTAATCTTTTTACTACGGAGCTGTTTTATTTATAATTTGATAAACTTTTGCCACTTGTCGGTACCACTGAGTAAGGTTCTGGCACATTTTTGAGAGTTTTGGAACCTTATACGGTGAACTCGTTCTACCTGACCGGTGCCACGAGGAACTACCGTTGCGATCAACGATCAACCTTTTTTTTGCAATAATCTTTGAAGGTATTTTGTCGTAAAAGCAACCCCACTGTTCTGTAATAAATATCCAAAAATCGATGTCTGCTTCTTTGATCTATCTACGACCTCTTCCACTCCAATTCATTTTGTTTTATACGATAGATTCCTAACGGTTCTTGAGACTTATCGATTGGAGTCAATAGTCCATTTTTTCTCCCTCTTGGCATCTGCGTTAATACATTAAATGCATGCTAAAAATACTTTTTGTACCTTCTCATTCGCATTTGGAATATAATAATTTTTGTTCAAAAGATCTTCTATTTTCTTGACCGCAAAATGTTCTTGCTTGTGTGCTAACTTTATAATCTCCTCCATCATACCCGCAGGTAACATACAACTAACAACTGCTTGATGGGATCATAATATATTAATACATTTCTTATGTAAAACTTATCAAATAACTATTCAATCTAAACTTTAACAAGTCTTCAATTAGTAAACAATATATGCGATTTAATGCATCCACATGCCTCATTCGCGTTCCGGATCTATGCTCAATTACATAATTGTACTCCTGGAGCTATAAGACCTATCTCATAACTCTCTCTGGGACATCGCTTTCTTTTACTGTCATCGTGAGAGTGTTACAATCGCTCACAATCTTAAACTTTTAAGTAAACCCGCCACTCTTTTAAAGCCTTAATTACTGCTAGTACCTCAAGTTAGTCTCTTCAGCTGATGTAGTTTTACGACTCATGTATTATATAAGATATAACAACTAGTCCTCCACGTCTTTCTATTCGCACTGCTCCGTAACAGTATTTCGATTCATCTGCGTGTAGCTCCGTTTCCGCTCCATGGTTGAAAAGTTGCATTGCTGGAGCATTAATCAATGCGGCTTTCAATTGTTGGATTGCTGGTCTTCTCTCAACATGAACTTCTATCTTTCCTTAGTAAATCCGACAGTGGTTTGGCTACCCTTGCATAATCACGAATAAATTACCTAAAAAATAATGTTAACCCTAAAAATAGTTGCAGTTTCTTTATACTGCCCGGAATCGGAAAATGTTAAATCGCTTCAATTAACCAAGGAACAAAACAAAATTCATACTGTTTACTGCTGGTTATGAAGGCAGTATACTTCCTGGAATGCGGTTCAACCGTCACGTTACAAGACCCGTTCTTCAAGTCTAAAGTTGTGAATATTTGCGCTCCTTGTAGTTTGTGTAATTTCTCGTCTACAAGTGTCTTCGGAAAGTTGTCCCTCAGTATCTTTTCGTTTATCCTACGAAAATCACAACAAAACATTTTCGACCCATTCTTTTTGGTGGTAAATACCACTGGTGACGCATTCTCTGACCCATCTCGAAGCATTTCTCCGCTTTGAACGGCTATGTACCTTTGGTCTTCATACGACACCCGACGAATCCGTTGATACACTGGTTTCTCGTCGGTTAAAATTAATTTAATTTGAACTGGCCCATTAGTTGGTTTCTGAGTCCGATAATTTTTTTATCAACGATTTAACGAACTCTGCGTCAGATTATTCTAAATGTGACAAGCCCACCCTATCTGGTTTATTATCCATCTGTATCTCTATTCCGCACAATACGTAACGTGCCCTCTTTTCTCACCACTTGAGACGTAACCTTGTCTTCGCGATTTCCCTCACTTAAAGTTATGTCTCTCTCTAAAATGACTGCTTCCCCGCCCTCTCGGCTACACTTCATTGTAACCTTTCAACACTTTTTCTCCCTCGAAACCTTGTCTCTCCCAGAAATCAGAGTTTCCTCGCCCCCTTTACATTTCACCGCCATCTCATCGACGCCCGTGTCTACTAACACTTCTTCACCCTTATTAGGCTTCTTAAATTTAATATTACCTTTTCTAAACGATCACTCTATTTTTTTTTTAAATCTCCATTCCTATAATACTGCACCTAACTGCGTAAGGCATTTCCTGCACCCTTACCACTTCAAATTTAACTTTCATCATCACGCCTTCTATAGCTACCTCTGCTACAAAGTTGCCCATTGTTGTAATCTCACCTTTTCCTATTCCATACAGCCGTTGGTTCTCTTTCCTGAGACTAATATCTCCTCAATAATATACTCACCTTTTCTTACGCTGTTTCAATAACCTACTGTGTTAACACACTCATTTTTTACCAACTTGACCGGTTGTTGAACTTTAAACTCGTGGGCACAATGGCCATTTTCCTTGGACTTAAAACAAATTATATTGTTTATTCCTCCACGTGAACATTCTCTAGCTAAATGATAAATAGGTACCGTCTCCATAAGAACTGGATATACTATACTCAGCAGCACGCAACGCAAATGCCACCCTATTTACATTTCTATTTTCCGTAGTATATAATGATTATACTGATTTGTTATCACTTCTTATTTCATCTATATTATCCCGGAAAACCATATATTGCAATAATCTAATTAGCAATTTTTTCTTTATCCCAACTACATTCAACTTAAGTTCCCTCAATTATTCTCTTAACATGTCCACGACCATACCCTTCACAGTCTTGGCGTCCATCTTAAAAAATTATTCTATCCCTATACATATTATTTTTAATATCTTATATACATATGTACAATATAATTATTTTCCCAAAATTATAGAATATTTAAATTTAATACTAAATGATACAGTTAGTGCTGTACAAATTCTATATATGCAATTATAATTAATTCAAAAACTTATCTTGTTGCTTTGCTGTTAACTGCCCCTGTGTTTCGCTGTCTTTAAGTTATTATTAATTCACTAGTTATCTATGGGTGGTTGCCACTACCCACGGATTATTTTATTTTATTGTTATAATTCGGTTATTCTTGATATAATTCTGTTTATGTACTAGCGACGGTGTTGTCAACTACCCAGTTATTTTTAGGTATTATTCCGTTTATGCGGTAGCGACGATGTTATCGACTACCCAAGGAATTATGTTATTTTAAATAAACACCATTTGAGTTCCGTTCAGAAACTGATTTATTAAAATTACATTTCCCTTATTTATAACGTACTTTACTATTTCCGTTACTACTGCCGTTGACGCTGCTATTCTAAATTTCTACTGACGCCTAAGCTTGTGCAAGGTATTGTGTTACATCCGCCGGTCACACGATCGATGGCTCCTGCAAAGTGTTGAATTGCGGCTGTCAGTCATACAGTTCATTTGAATCATGCGCAATCAAACTGCATGTATTGCAGTTTTGGCAGCTCAAAAGACCAGCTTAGTTAACTATTGTTAACTTGCACCTAAGTACAGTTTCTTCTTGTGTCCTTATATATGGCCAAGCAAGTTCACTTTTTGGCCTTAACAATTCGCTTCTACATTTGTAAGCTTTCAACCTACATATTCAAAGCAAACATTTTATTTTTAAATTTAAAATTCTGCAGCAACATTCATCATACATATTTCTTGAATGAGTAAGAAAGAGATGCACTTTAAGCTATTCCATTTTGTATCAACCATGGCCGGCAATATTTGGAAAAAAATTTTAAGGTAAGCGCTTTGTCTGATTTGTTTTATATATAATGTTATTTTATTTTGTTTTATAGCATGAAAAGGCGTTTATAATAAATAAATATAATTGCAGAGGACGGAGGAAAACTATCAATGCGCCGCACGAGCTGGAAATCAAGTGGGATTTGTGTTGCTATCGTGAAGAGTTGCGTAATATTTTTCCCAATGGTGATTCCAAGGGGAGTTGCCTCATTTACTGTTTTAAAGTTGGAAGGACCAATTACTTACATTTTCTTGCCACCTCTAGCTTCGCAAAAAGACGCGAATGCGAAAGATTTTCCACATCAATAAGCGCGTGCAGAGTTTGGGTGAACGTGATACCCAGGTAAGCGTGGCTGTACAATGCTTAAATTAAATACTTATTCATTTACTTTGCGTATTTGTTAAGTGTTTTTAGATGACACTCAACACTTTCCATTTTTTTTTCAAAGAATGTGCTGTGTCGTTTGGAGCACACTACCTTGCGGAAGGTAACGGCCAACACTGCTATTTATACGCAGAGGACTGTCATCCCGGAAGATCGAGAATACGTAAATGTCTACTATGAGGTGAGGGGCAAGAATTCGTAAACGTCTTCTATGAGAAGCCCGATTTCAATCCAACACGCATTTCGCCATGGTTACTGCCATGTATTCCATGTGATGGGCATTGAGCTATCGTCATTTGGCCTTGTTATGAGGTAATGACAGCTTAATCAATACAAGTAAGTAATGTATATATATAACTCTTCTAGATATTATATCGGCTTAATAACAATATATAATTATGAATAATTTAATCATATCAGATAATAATAACATATATCATATTATAATTTTAATATAAAAACAACTAATAGTGCAATTTCAACACAATTCTGTTGCAGGTATAAAGACGATACAAGTATTTTGATTGGTAAAATTTTAGAAATTTTGCTTCATTCCCATACCACCGTTGACAAATAAGCAACTTTCTGGACGTTACGAAGAACAATTTTTGGAGCATCAACCGTCAAAAGCAACAACGCTATTGGAAAGTAATGGGCTCGTCGGTGGTATTTTCAATGTTATTGGGCTACCATTTGGCGACCAGCCTAAATTGGATTGGATGTCATTCTCGGATTGTTTGTATATCTACAGGTAATACGACACGAAAGTTAGTCTCTGTTTAGTTACATATACATATGATTTTTTTTTTTTATTTCAGATGCCCCCTCAATCGTTTCGCTGACATTCTCTCAACACACAAAGCTGCAATGCAAAGAATGCGAACGTTTAACCTCTGAGCAAAAGATGAGCAATGTCCAAATGACATAAGTGAATCGTCGCACCGATGTTATTTCCTATGATGTAATGGCTTAAATGTCGCATTTTGATACACATATGAAACAGGCACATAAATTTATGGTCGAGTTTTTGGCAAAAAACCCGCGCAGAACTAATGTAGTATGACATGATGCATTATCGTGATGAAGGAACTAAACCATATTTTTTATGCATATAGATTTATAAATATCGTATAAGTAATTGTTTATAAGATTAGAGGTTAGATGTGCTTTACTTGATTACTCATAAAGTGTTAATATCTATATTTAAACTTTTTAAGGTATTAATTAATTTTAATATTTAGTTTAAGTAAATACGTTTTTATATTTAAATAAAACGAAACAATAGAAAAAATACAGTATTTTATTTAAAAGAATTGGAATTGAATTATGGTAACAAAAAGATAACCGATACGCTAACATATGAATTTAACAAATGGGTAACAAATAAAATAACATTGAGGAAAATCAAGGTAATAGATATAGCTAAGAAATAGGTAACAAATACCCTAACATGTTTACATGTTAAAGGTAACAAACTGCTAACCAAAACAATAGCACTAACAGAAATTTGGGTAACAAATACTTTTGATATAGATAACACCTAAGTAACCTATTCACTAACCAAAGTATTTGTTACCTTTAACAGACTGTAACATTGCCATAATTGCCGTTGGATAGATCGAGAAAGCCATTGAACATCAAATGGCGATGTGTTACTTTTTTCCAACTCTCTGAACAAAAGTAACAAATAGTTGAAAGTATCGAGTATAAGTGAACAATAACCAGTCGTTAGCACGTTTACTAATAGATGCCCGTTTTGCATAGTTTGTTTTCAATTCCCCAATGTTGCCATTGCTCAATTTATATACATGATTTTGCGTACATCTAGCTTTTCAGTTATAATTTTTCATAATGTTAAAGATCAAAACTAAAATCCAACTATTTAAAATAGTCTATCTATTTATATATAATTGTATTTGACTGTGATTTTGAGTTAGTTTAAGAATATTTGAAATTTTTTCAAGTTAATATTTTAATTACTAAAAAATATCGAGACTGCCAACCCTGTGTTGTAACCAGCAATCAGTTGACTCGCTTCTACGAGAAAAATCCAATTTTCACGAAAATCCTCGTACACGGACGATAGAAGCGGAGGTGAGTGTTCATTTTCATTGCGTTCTCTTAATATAGGTTGTATCAGCTGATTCGGTCTACGGTTTTGCGTCAGTCACTAACTGAACAAAAAATCTGAAACCGATGATGGCCGCGATGGTTTACCGTTTACACTATTTCTATAATCCACTATTCGAACTTTGATTATGTGGTTGCCAATTATCATATAACTCCAATCTAATTCTACATATTGTGGCGAACACGAGTACCAGAACAAATCAGAATTAACGATAAACTGCCAGAAGCAACTAGACAGCGAATTCGTAGTTGCCAGAATGTTCTAGTAGCGAACTTTTGTTAAAAATTTACTATAGAGGGGCTGCCGGATTGTGCAGCAGACACAGTTCTAATTAAAGTGTTGCCGTGCAAAGAGCAATTAAGCTATACGCAATAAGTTGTAAGTTCGAAAAGCGAGCAATAAGTATTAAGTTGCTGGAATTGGAAATTAAGATAAGTGTATAGGATTAAATTGGGTCTTTAATTTAACAATCCAGTGATCGAGCTCAAGAGTGAGTTATGGTCAGACGATTTATCGAGAAATCCGTTACAATTAATGTCAGAAGTACGATTGTCAAATAAATTCCCAAGGAGATAATTATTTGAAAATGGCCAAATTTAACGATCTATGGGGTAAAGAGACAACGAAGGTACATAGAAGAAAAGGAAGAGACTCAATGCTCAATAGAGGTTATTTATGCTGCGTTGAAATCTTTCTGAGACCGTTTGTAAGCACAGTTGTCAGCTGCAAAAAAGGCTGGATGTGCATATGTCAGTGCAGGTGTCTTCACAGTTGGAAGAGCAGGAAGCGTATGAACCAGTAAAAGGGTCCTCACAGTCAGAAAAGCAAGAAGCTTGTATACCAGCACAGATGGATGATCAGGATAAAATTATAGTTGAAACAGATGCCTCTTTGCAAGAAGATCCAGAACTAAAAGGTGTAATGCATGAAGTGGAGTTGAACAAATGTACAACGAGGGGAGAAATAACTAAGGGAGGCCAGTCGCAAAAGCATATTTGGGAGAGTAGTTTAAAGTTAATGTGCGGGTGCTTGCATCGAGTATGGTAAAGCGAAGATTGGCAAAGCTTTCGAGCACTTATGGTTCTTCCAAAGGTTAGAATTCCTAAAGTTCTTAACGTGTTGTACAAAGGTCCAAGTTGAGAAAACTTGAGAAACTCAAAAACCTTAAGGAAATTAAAGCAAAGGTTTTATTGGACTAGTTGTCGTTAACAGCTATGGAGAAGATTGCCAAATAAGCTGAGTGCATTGTAGCTAAAGGGTCAACTTCCAGGAGTTATGGCTAGATGAAGCAGTACAATTCGGGTGCGCCATTTGAGCAAATTGCCGTGAATGTAGGCAATAAATTAGGAAATAGACATGTTTTGGTAGTCAAGAACCATTTCAACGAATGGCCAGAAGTATACACAATTCCTAATCAAGAGGACGTGTTCATCAACAACTGGGTAACGAGTCAGCTTTAAGTCAAGCCAATAAGTGAAGGGCGGCTAAGGAAGTTAACACCATCCTAGAATACGAGATGAGAGACATAAATGCCTTGAGTTTGGTACCACAAATATGTCTAATCGGGACGATCAGACTTAGGTGAAGTGCAGTGTGGCCAATACGGATGATAGAACAAAATCGAATCGACGATAAATTGCTAGAATCAACTAGACAGCGAATTCGTAGTTGCCAGATATTTTTAGTGCGAAGTTTTGTTAAAGATCAACTATATAATGGCAGCCGGATTGTGCAGCAGACGCAGTTCTAATTAGAGTGCTACCGTGTAAAGAGCAATTAATATATAAGTATGAAGATGTAAATTCGGATAATGAGTAGTAAAGCGTTAAGTTATTTGGATTAGAAATAAAGATAAGCCATTAAATTGGGACTTTTATTTAAAAATTAAGTGATCAAACTCAAGATTCATCAAGAAATCCGTTACAATATATATACCATAACCCTTTATCAAAATCGATTGTTTTTAGGTGATACAAACAACTTTAGGTAAATAAAACTATTATAATCTATTGCAACATGTTGCAAGTTATAAAAATCCATTAAATGGTCGCTACAACTTTTGCTTCGAGTAATCTCGAAGTCTTTTAACTTTTAAGATAACTAGTATCCATTATTATACCCTGAACAGGGTGTATTAAGTTAGCTACGACGTTGGTAACACCCAAAAGAACGTCGGAACCCTACAAAATATTTACAGTGTACAGCATAAGTGAAGGTAATTTTTATTAATTTTGTATTAAGAAATAAATTATTAAATAAAGAAATTCTAACAATTTATCTGGTTATTTTCGTTAATTTGTTAATATAATATTTATCAAAAGGAGTAGAATTAACCAACCGTACCTTCACTTATTGGCCGTATCTACTCTCTT